TGAGGTCACCAGTTTTGGGGGAATGTGGGAAGAAGGAGCTGAGGGCACCAGTTTTGGGGGAATGTGGGAAGAAGGAGCTGTGGGGAGGCAAGGTCGGGGTTTGGGTGGTGAATCCAACCCGGGGGTTTGTGGGAAGCACTGGAGGGGAAGGAGCAGCGGGATCCGGAGGAGAGGAGGAGGCACAAATGGCTGGAAGTGCCTCCCGCTGGAAGAGCCTCTGGGCTGGTGCTGCTGGGGAGGAGCCAAATCCCTTCCCAGGCTTGGAAAAGCTGGAAATTCTCCTTCGGAACTGCCGGGAGGAGAAGCCAAAACCCAGGAGAGACTCCTGGTGCTGGGCCTTGTTGGATCGTGGGATGGTTGGGCTTGGAAGGGACCTCAGAGGCCCTTTCCCGACCGGGAGCTTCTCCTGGAACCAGGAAAACCATGTTGTGTCATGCTGCTGGAACAGGAAAACCACTTCCACGGGTTTTTCCCCCTCCTGGTTAATGGGACCGGGATTTTTTCCTGCCTGTCCCGGCAGGTTGGGGTTGGGAGCTGGGCCATCCCTCTGCCCCGGTGAATCCGTGTCCCATTCCCATTCCGTGACCGCTCCCTGTTTCTCTTGCAGAACTACGCTGCCATGAAACTGGTGAAACCCTTCAACTGAGCGGGGCCGGCGCGGGAGCTCCGGGATTCGGGATTGGGGATTCGGGACTTGGGATTCGGGATTGGGGATTCGGGAACGGGGATTCGGGAAGGACCTGCGGCTCCGGATCCCGGCGGGGGGAGAAGGAACCACTTCCCCCAGGCCCTGGATGGCTCCCAGGATGGACACACCAATTCCTGGCTGGAGAATCCGCCTGGGAATGTCACGTCCCCAACCCTGCCCGGGGAGCTCTCGCTGTGCGTCCTGCTCAGTGCGTTTGCTTGGATTTTGGGTTGCTTTATTTTGGTTTATTTTATTTTTATTTTATTTCATTTTATTTTAATTTCATTGTGTTTTACTTTATTTTATTTTATTTTACTTTATTTTATTTTATTTTTTTTTATTTAATTTCATTTTTATTTTCTTTTATTTCGTTTTTATTTTATTTTAATTTAATTTTAATTTTATTTTATTTCATTTTGTTTCATTTTATTTCATTTTATTTTACTTTATTTTACTTTACTTTATTTCATTTTATTTTACTTTATTTTATTTTATTTTATTTTAATTATTTTTATTTTATTTTATTTTATTTCATCGTGTTTTATATTATTTTACTTTATTTTATTTTACTTTATTTTATTTTAATTATTTTTATTTTTAGTTTATTTTATTTCGTTGGGTTTTACTTTATTTTACTTTATTTTATTTTATTTCATTTTATTTTACTTTATTTTACTTTATTTGGTTTTACTTGCTTTTGGTTCTGGTTTGTTTTGGTTTACTTTGGTTTTGCTTTATTTTTATTTTCTCCATTTTATTTTATTTTATTTCAT